TGCCTAGCTCACTGACAGTATTAATTTGAACCAGGAATCTAATTTTTTTGGTTTCAGAGCTTTTTATTGTGGAGAATCCTGACATCAGCTGCCGATGTAGTAGCCAAAATTACTACTGTCATAGAGGGAATAACAGCAGAGGGGGTGGTAGCATCTAGTTGATGATAAAAGAAAGACATGATATGATCTTCTCAAGTCTCAGACAGACAAAAATGACTTTTCAGCACTCTCAGCCCTTGTTTGGTGTCTTCTAAGAGTGCAGACAGACTGCAGCCTTACTACTAATTGGCCAGATGAAAGCATGGAGCAGAGCGCTCTCCACAATGGACATCTTTCAAAATGCACTGTAAAATGAGAAAGTCATAATACAAGATAGTTGGATTTAATTTTCTAGAGGAAGAATCAGTGGAACATATTCACCACATTTTTTGAAAAAAATTTCTTTTCTTTGAACTGACTTTAATTATGAAGGCGTTGCCTAGGGAGAATCATTAGGGCAGGAAAAAAATCTGTAAGAAGAGTGTCAATGTGACGTGGACCAGGAGGGATGCAGTGCTGCTAAGTTGAAAACTCTCTAAGAATAAGAGGAGACCTGTTTTTTGTCTCAATGCACAAAATTAAGGAGAATGTTTTTGTTGGACCAACGCCTAAAGAACATAAGTGAGAAGACATGATTCACTGAGTCAGGCAGACAAACTTATTTTGAAGACTTCCATGTAGATATCTTGACTGTAATTGTAAGAGAATACTGTCTGGATTGTTTAAAATATTTCATCTTTCTCAGTGTATTTTACACATTGCAATTGGCTTGCTAATATGATGTCCTTATGGTGATTGTGGTACAATATTGCACTTCTGCAAAGAAAATACAGCTGGGTTTTTACACTATGATTGTATTTTCTAACTACTCACAACTGCATATAGAACTTTTCGTTCTATTATGATATGTTTATGTCTGTGTACTTACAATACACACACACACATACACACACATATATATATATATATATAACAAATGTTTATATAGACAAATACTTTTTTTTTATATTCTAGCAACTTGTGAAGGCCACAAAAGATATGGATTAGAAAGGTCCCTAATTATTCAACACAGATGCCTGGAACAAGAGGAAGAGATTTGTTTTACAAAAGAGATGCTTAAATTAGCTTGTACTGCTCAAATAGGCAAGAAGTCATTAAAAAATAACATTGAAAAGTGACTTGCTATTAGACATTTTTCTATTTCACTGAAGTAGTTCCCACAGACCAAACTTTGTCTACACGTAATTTGCAGGATCAGAGCCCTCAAAATTTAGTAAAGGATCCTTGAGTTTTCAGCTTCAGATAGAAAGTAATAATCTACTTTTTACTTTCATGTTAGACATCTTCAAGAATGGATGTAAGTTCACTATAATTTTGCAACAGCAATATTTGACATATTTCTCATGCTTCATCACCGACTGGGTTACACATTAGCTGACAGTGACTTGTCTTCACAGTGCTAGAGTTAATTCTGTGTATCAAATGTGGAAACTATGATGAAGGAAGAAAGTAAACTCTTTCTTAAAGTATTCTTCTAATGTATTCTTTTGTAATAGTAAAAAGAAACAGAGTTTAATATTAGAGGGTTTTTGGTATAGCTGATTGACTATGATTATGAAGTGTTCTAACTTAATAGGAAATATTTTTCTTAAAAAATGAGGGAATTTTAGATCAGTTTTTTCTCAAGGGAAACTGGTTTCCACAAAGGTGAGCAATTATAAAAGCACCCCTTTACAAAACATGGAAAGGGAAATCCTTCCTTGATTCCCATTGGCTTCTCTAGATGTAAGGTTTCACCTGTAACCTCTGCTCATATCTCATTTGAGCACAACTGCTTAAGATAATTTGAAAACATATGTGTATTATCTGTTTGGTTTTTGCAACTGTTGAAGTCTGAAGAGTTCCAGAAGGAGACTCCTTGTCAGCTTTCGGATGGAGTACAGTCTCCTCATTCAGTTAAACATCATGTTTGGCACCAAAAACTGGGACTAACTTGTCTTTGACTCTTCTGCTCTCTCTTAGTATTTCTTAATTCTGCACGAAAGTTGGGAATAATTCCATTTTATGATCTATCTTATTTTTGTATTCAACCTACAAGTAAATACCATTTAAGGAATGAGGCTACAAGTAAAAATCATTTAAGCAGGGAGGATTATTTTAGTCCTGTTACAGCTGCAAGGAATGATTCATTGAGGTACCATATTTTGTGTTGCTGTGCTGAAAAAGATATTTATGGATATTTTCCCATTTCCTACATCTTACTCATGCAAGGAAAGATAATAACAGACTTTTCTTTCTTTCTTTTTTTTCTTCTTTTTTTTTTTTTTAATTAGGGTTCCAGTTCGGTTTTAAAAGTTCAGCATAAGCTAATTTGGAGCTGGCTAAATGCTTAGGAGCAATCTGTTTGCTCTCACATAGAACTCCCATTAACATGCCAGCTACAGTTCTATTGAAACAAGCTCAGATGGCTTTGTGTCCCCACAGCGGAAGGAGATTTAAACTTTGAAATAAAAAAGTCATGAAGATCTTATTTAAGTAGAAGCTGGGTAAACTGGAAGCACTCTGTGGAAAGTGAGTTGTGGACAACTCTAAGTAACAGCCATCGTACTTGTAAATTTGAGCAATGTGTTTCTACTTTAGAGCAATTTCATTCAGATATTTCAGAGCACTAAAAAGATCACTGATTTCTACATGGGCTGTCATTGTATATTCCTTGTGAATCCAATATGCAACTTGAGATGAGGTTTGTGGAGCTATAGCTGTGAGAATTTGGAGAGACCTATGGATGCAGGAGTCTTAAACCTGGGGTTCTCTGCCAACAATTCTGTGAATAAAGCTGAGCTGTGTATCAAATAATATCGACATTTATAATTCGGTATTAAGGACCATGTTCTGACTACATTTCTGATGTTTGACGAGTGACATTGTTAGTCAGGGAAAACAAGTTCAATCAGAATCTGAAGCTGACTGGTGATTAAATTTGGCTAGAAACTGTAAAAATAGTTGACATGATAGCAACCCAAGGGTGTACAGTATAATGTCATTTTTAATGTGTCATCATAATTTAACACTGGTCTTTTGGTTTGATTATAATTAACATTCCTTGACTGTTTGTATTTGGCTTACAATATGTCTCAATGTTATGTGTTGAGAGTTGTAAAAGGTGCATGATTGTACTGTTTCTGTTCAAGTTGTTTCTAACTTAAAACTTCACTGTCCAGTGTTCTTTCAATAAGGGTACCTATTACAATATTTACATTATTTTAGGTATAGAGAAACTGGCTTTTCAACCAAACTGAATGATGCATCTCAATATTCAAGAGCGTATGTGTGTGTGTGTATCTATATATGCATACACATACACATGTATGTGTTTATTGGTTTAAACAAGATCTCTCACTTATTTCCTACCCACCTCACGCTTCTCAAATCTCAGGCATCTGGAAGGAATCAAGACTTTTCATGTAAGCTGAAAGTCATAAGTCTCAGGAATAATATACTTTCTTACAGTGATATTCACTAGAAATTCTCTCCCCAAAATTCAGCAGATCAAATAGTATTAAATAAAGGTCTAATGACTAATAGATTCCAGATAATGCAGGATTCTTCTGCCTGCATGAGTAGCTTAGTGATTCAAATGACTGTGTCTTCTCATCCCTTTGATGCTCTGGGTTTATAGCCACTAAATTCCATATATGTTGGAATATTCCATTTTGATTCTTCTGATTCCACAATAGAAAACTTTTACCTTTCTTTTGTGTTCTAAGTATCTTCTATTGTTTCATGCCCAAAAGAAAATACTGACCTTTGTGGATCCTTGAGCTGACCCGGAATAGTTGCTTTTCATTTGTTCAATTCTGTAGTAGTTAAATTTTTATTATATTTCTAGTCTTCTCTTTCAAGTAATAAAGGAGATACTTTCAATAAAGTTTGAAGATCAGCAACAAAACTATAGGCAATTTTTCAGTTTGTTAACATCAACTGAAAGACTATCTTTCTTATAAAACTTAAATAATTAGTGAAGAAATAAACTCTGAATATTCATATTAATTCCAGTGTTTCTTTTGTAAAGTTTAATCTTATAGTTCAAATACTATTCTTATAATACACTTGCACATAAATTAAATGAAGGAATTTGGTTATAGCTCTTGAAATAATGAAAAAACATACAGTGTAATGCATAAATCTTAATAGTAATGCACATACAAATCTATTTTAGCTTAACAATATGAAATAGCCAAAATATATTTGGGACTGTGACAGGATTTGTGTGAGCTTTCTCCTTTGAAAGGATGCTCCTGGCTTTGAATTTCAAACACTACCTTCTGTAGCAGATGAACAAAAGTCATCCTCTTTTTTTTTAGGAAAGCCAGCTAATTGCATGTCTGCCTCACATTCAATTAAGTCTTTGGTGATGGGCTTTGAAGGGTGTGTTTTATATTTTCCTTTCTTTCGTTTGGGCTGGTTTTGGGTTGGGGTGTTTTTGGTTTGTTTTTTATTGTCAATATTTGCTGAGAAGTTCCTGATACCACTGTTAAACTGTTCTTCGAAGGAAGCTTTGACAAAATCTCTAGTTTGAAACAGGAACTGGAACAGTACAAAGCTGATGGGAGGAGAGTGCCATCCTCCCTGTTGCCTGAGAATTATTTTTTTCGTGTGAAAGCAACATAAGTCTTAATAGAAAAACTAATGGTAGCAAGGTAGACTAAAACAACCTAATTTTGGTCTGAAAGTAATATACCGTTATACAGTAATATACTGTATTTATTAAATTTGGGTTGCTTGAGTACTTTTTCCATTGTTTTCCAAGCATCATTCTAAATATAATATCCTGTTTGGTCACTACTTGGATAATGTGAATGGTACCCATTATTGAAAGGTAGTCTGTATTTGTACTAATACAGAGAATGCCAGTTTAGAAATGAGCCTGATTGCATGGTTCATTTTGTTCTCCTTTGTAGAGCCAGGCTGCGGCCCACTACAAAGGCACTAAACATGCCAAGAAGCTCAAAGCACTGGAAGCCATGAAAAATAAGCAGAAATCTGTTACTACCAAGGACAGCGCAAAGACTACCTTCACTTCCATCACTACCAATACCATCAATACCAGCTCTGACAAAACAGGTTAAGCGACAATCTTTGTTGGTTCCATTTGTTTTGGTTTTGGTTTGCTCTGTGTTTAGTTTGGTTTGGTTTTTTTTCTTGTTTAATTCCATGTCTGTTTGTTTATGTGCTTGCCACATTTATTCATGCTCGATCCATCTTTCTGTGTGATATTGATTTCTTTTAGTCCTTTCAGTAGGCTGGTGAGAGTTTTATAGCCATGTAGCCAATTTCTCGTAGTGAAAAGAGGCTTGACATTCTTTTATGATGGAATGCAATACTCATGACTTGATTAACATATCAACTGATCTAAACCTCCTGGTCTGTATGCAGTATCTCTCTATAAATTATTATATATAGTACATTACTTTTAACCACAGTGTAATAAATTTCACTATTTGTGTCTAAAGCCTCTTAAAAAGCATTTTCAGTAAAAACCTAATTTTCATAAATTTCAAACATTACATTATTGTTTTAAAATGGATATTGCATGGTTTTTAATTGGAAAGAGCTGTATAACCTCTATTCCACACAATCAGGTAAGTGCTATTGATACCAATTATTCTGCTTAAATGAGTCTTCAGACTGAAATAATAGCTTTTAAATTATTGTATGGGTAAAAGTTACTTCTTTGCAAATAAAATCTATGTGAGTATTTGTAAAGTCAACAGGATTTGGTTAAGATTGCATTTGAATTATGTAGCTATTGCTGGAAATATCTATGGAAGGTTGGAAGATCACAGAGGTGTAGTAGTGTCTCACAAGGTGTGACTGCTCCTGTGTATAAAGGGATACAGTTTGCATATTTAGTCATAACCAACCCCGCCTCTCCAAACAAGACAAAAGTAAGCATACCAAAAAAAAGCTAAAGCTCTGAAACATCAGAGACCTACCTACTGATGCTGAAACTGCTCATTTGGAACCAGTCCTGATGCAGTAAGTTAAGCATTGTAAATGGATATGCGCTAACCAAATAATATACCAGAAAAGTACCTTGCAGACATGTGTGGTACCTTTCTTAAGATACATCTTCACTATATTTGTTATAGACAGATATCTTTTTGTCTCTCTCTATATATATCTTTGTTATACCCTTTATTATAGACAGCATATGTTTTATGGAGATTTATAACCTAATTATAATGTGATGACTTTAGAAAACATTTGCTACATTATTTTTGTGTTTGTTAAAAAAAAAAAGAGGACACATTTTGAGAACTTTTATATCATGAAAGAAACGAAGCATGGGAGAATAGGAACAATGTCAAACATTATTTGTGAAAATATGTGTTTCTAAACATACAAGTACCTTTCAAAGTTTTTCCTTCTGTTACTTGTTGGCATATTCAGAACAGGAAGGAGGATGTTTTGTGAAAAGAGTGAATAATTTTTTTCCAATATGGTCTAGTGGTTGGAGAAAATAACTGAAGAAAAGAGAGATCTTTTAAAGCTTTAAAATGTATTATTCAAAAGCTTTTATCTTATGCTGTGTAAGTTTGAAGGATTTTCCGAGGTGCCTTAAAACCAGTGTGTCTTTCCATCAAGCTTTGAATTAGATCCCTGACAAGATATATGAACTGTCTTATATCCAAGGTCAATAGTACAAATCAGTTTTTATATTGGCATAAGTAAGAAAATAGAAGAAATCTAGTTGCACACACAAGTAATGGCCTATGCAGGAGTTTTCTCAGCTTTACACATTGTTTCTAACCTTCTAGATTAATTTCATAGAATGTGTGTATACATATGTGTATGTACATGTATAAAAATATGTATTCTATTTAAGAAATACTGACCTTTATGGTATTTTAAGAGACAAATATTGAGGTTAATTGACAAATTTCTTAAAATATTGAGCCCCTGATTCAACTATTGGCAAAAACCCTATTCAATCAGTGGTATTCAAAGGAAGGCGGCAAGTTCTACCCAGATGCAGTTATTGCAGGTCAGCATTGACGTGACTGGCAACAGAATAACACCCTTGGTGTAAATTATCCTTTGTCAAGCATGTATATTTATACACATGAAAAAAAAATAATTGGGTAACCAAAAGGATGAAATTTTTCTGTCAATCTATGACAAGTTAAAACTTTCATAAATTGAATTTTCTTTTCTTTCCAGTTGTTTTTATATCTTATATTTGCTTGATAAAAATTTTAAGGGCAAAATTATTTCAGAAAGCCAGAATAACCTCAGAATATACTGTACTGTGAGTTTGCACATATTTAAATGATTACTGTGAAAGTCAAATACTCTGATAGTACTATGCAGTTCTTAGGCAGTAGTTGTACTAATGAATATAATTCATTAATTAATCCTTCATAACTAGAAATAAGTTTTGTTACTAAGGCCATGTACTTGTGATCATTTGGAACAAAAGATTTTTCTACAGTATTTTTAAGCTGTCTGCTGAAGATTAATACTTGATCCTAAATACACTGAGGATAGGGTCATGTTCATATCACCTCTTATATATCATCTGCAGCAGTGGTTAAATGGTGAATTGCATGTCAGTCACAGCACATTGGTCAGCACAGGGTATACTGGTTCCATGTACCCTTAGCAGCTCCAGTAAACAAAATGTCATCAGGAAATCTGCAGTGCTATGCAATGAGGATTATGAAAAAGATCACACAGTATACAAACTGATTCAAGAGCTAAAGCAGCAATTTGTTATGTTGCTTATTCTGGAAGTGTTTGTTATATGTGGCACCAGCATGTGTTGTTGGCACTGTGCAGCTCACAGTGTAAGCAAATTCCTTAAAACCTCTCATACGTGATTCCTGGTGTTTAAATTACGTGTTAAGGAGAAAACATAAAATATGGAGTCATTTTGCTCATTCTGTGAAAGTTGCTAATTTATTGGTTTTCCCTTTAAACAAACTTTTAGTATTATTAGAAGGCTTGAACTTGAAAAATCTTTGGGGGAATAAAATATCGTGAATAGTTATGTTGACAGCCACAGTGGCCAGAAACAATGGGCGATGCCATTCTCAAAATGTGGGAACTTTGTTATCAGTTCTATTACTTAACATCTTTCTTTTATCTGTATTTACCATTTTTTGTGTTATACTTGCAGTCACTTAGGACAGAAAACCGGACCATTCCAAGGCAAAATCTACTTTATGGTATCATACAAGCCAGATTTCAGTATTTCTTGATTTTCCAAGGGGTGACAATGAAAATGAATATTTTTATTTTTGTTATATATTAACACACATGCGTATATGCCTTTATTGTTGCTTTTGAATGTTACACACTATGTCTTAAATCCTTTGTACTTAAATGCAATGAACAGCTCTTAAAAACAGAGAAAAATGTTATGAGCAGAAATAGTGTGTATCTGGGCCGAGGCACAGACAAGATCATCTATCACTAGTACAGTCTTAACAGCTAAGAGGTCCCTATGGTGTCAGAGAACCAAATATTGGCACCCATCCCGAAAAGCTTACAGTTCTACATAAGATGAAAGACAGCTTAGGGAGACAGGCACTGTAAATGTAACAGGCAGGTGTTTTAAAGGAGTGGTAACATAAACATGTTCAAATAATAAAGGCATCACAAGAAATGAAAACACTGAGGTATAGATGAGAAGAAAAAGGAAGAGATTTGTTTTCTTCTCAGATACTGAATGTATGTGTGGGTAACAGCATGGAGGAAAACATAAGTTCACTTATTTTTTCTTCACTGAGACATGAAAATTCTTCTGTGGAAAAAAATTTAGTTTCACTACCTCTTCACAACCTTTTTTTTTTTTCCCCTTTTTTATTTTTTATCTAAGACATGATATTTCTAGTCGACAGATGAAACTTGTTCCTGAAATACCAATTTCTGTCCAACTGGGATAATTCTGAAATAGAGAGTACTTGGAGTGGGAGAGAACAATATTCTGGCATGGTCTTGGGAATAAAAGTGCAGGCGGGAGAGAGAAAGAAATTAGAAATGCTGTGGTAAGTCAGGGTAAACTCTGAAGGAGAAGGAAAGGAATATGGCATGAAACAAAAATGTTGAGAAAGATATGCAAGAGTTTGGCAACCACAATACTACTGGATCAAAGAATGTTTGAGGCATCTGAAGATTGACAAGATCACCCCTACAGGTCAGAGTGGAGTTATCCTGAGCACAATGCTGTGTATCTTTTTCAGCTGAGTTTTGAGTATCTTCACAACCTTTTGTTGGCAACTCATTCTACAGTTTGACCAGCCTTGGAATAAAGAAGAGTAAAGAAGTTTTTCTTATATTTCAGTCCAACTTCCTGTATTTCAGTTTCTGGGTGTTTTGTCTTGTCCTCTCACTGGACACCATGAGAAGAGTCTCTGTCTTTTTTATTCCCTGATCTCATAGGTATTTATATACACTGCTGGCTTATGTTTCAAGTAGTGCCCACCAGGATTCCAGGTCCTTCTTCACAAAGATGCTGTACAGATGCTTAACTCCAACCCAGACTGCTGTGTAGGGTTATTGCTTCCCAGCTGTGGGACTTTTGCACTTTCCTTCGCTGAACTTCAGGGGACTCCTGTTATCCAACTTCTCCACTCAATCCAAGTCCCTCTGAATGGCAACCCACCCATCTGGTATATCAGATGCTCCTCTCAGTTTTTAAGCATCAGCAAGCTTGTTAAAGGTGCACTCTGTCCCATTATCGTTAATGAAGACTTCCAAAAATATTGGGCAAACTGTTCTAGTGCACAGTCACCTGTACAGTAGAGAAGCATTTTCTGCCCATTGCCTCTTGTCCTATTGCTTGGCACCACCAAAAAGAACCTGGCTCCATCTTCTTGACACACTCCTTTCATATACTTACAGACGTTGATAAGGCCCCCTCTCAGTCATCTCTTCTTGAGGAGGAACAGGCCCAACTCTCTCAGCCTTTCTTCCTAAGAGAGATACTCCAGTCCCACAGTCATCTTTGTAGCTCTCTGCTGCACCTGCTCCGGGAGCTCCAGAGCTTTTACTTGGGAGCCCAGAACTGGACACAGCACTCCAGATGCAGCCTCACCAGGGCCAGATCACATCCCACG